CCACAACTCAGTGACTCCCTCCAGGTACAGCACCCTCTCCAGGGACTGGATGGCAATGCTGGGTAGAAAAGGCAGAATATACTACCTGCTCTCTGTGCAGGGGAATGTGCTCCCAGCATCACAGCAGGGTTATCTAAAGACAAAGGGATAGGCTAGGTGAGATCCTTGGGCCCCAACAGGAATTGGCTTCCCTTTTCTGATGACTAAGAGCAGCCAGCAATGCTCTGCTCCCCAGCCCAAACTGCTTCAGACACCACGCTGCTTCATCTTCACACTGCTGAGCTGGCCCCTCTGGGGAAGCCTTCTGGCTTTCTGAATAGCCGGGGGGCAACTCTGCCCACTCATAACTCTGCCAAGCTCAAAGGCCCCTATGATCCAAACTCTCAGTTTTCCAAAACCTTTCAGTATCCCTGAGCCCCCCCAGATAAGGAGGATCCTAATGGGAATTCAGTACTTTCTAAGGGCTGATACAGACACTGTGTGAGGGGTTGGCTCCATCTATGACGGGTTGGACCCCTTGGGAAGCCACCTGATGTGCTGAGATACCATTTAGTCTACCTGTTCTGCCAGCATGGGCTCCCTTTAACCTATCTTGCTGAGCCAGGCTCTTAAAACCTCCTTTAACACACAGGCAGGCAGGGCCACACCCAGCTGCAGATTAGCTGTAGGAAGACTCAGTTTAAGGGACTTGCTCCAGCCCTCAGATGTCCACCTCCCTTGGATTGCAGACCCAAAGATATATTATGAAATTCACCCCCTCCCTCAATGTGGAGAGAGGTGTGCACCCCCATTAGAAATTACAGAAACTGGGTTTAATAATAAAAAAAAACAAATGCTATTAACTATAAAGGGCAGATTTTAAGTGGTAGAAGGGGTAACAAACAGAACAAAGCAGATTACTAAGCAAATGAAATCAAACACGCAAACCAAGCTAGTTTCATTAAAGAAACTGGTTACAAATAGTATTTCTCACCCTAGATATTGTTGCAGGCAGTTTGCAAAGTTTCTGTGCTTCAGATTTCCAGTTATATTCCTTTTCAGATGATACCCCTATCTCTGTCTGGACTCTCCCCTTGCCTTCCCTTTTGCAGTCTTTCTTCTTGGGCAGACAGGCCATGGAGAGGAGGAGTCCTGTTTGCCTTCTTCCCCACCCTTAAATAGGATTTACATAAGGTGGGAATCCTTTGTTTCCCAAACTTGACCCCCCTTCCCTTACAGTGGAAAATTACAAGAAGTTCCAGGTAATGTTTTAGTATCAGGTGACAAGACCACCTGACGCTGTAGTATCATAGCGTCCCTGAGTCAGTGGCCCTGTGGAGGGTCCACAGGAAGGCCAAGCTTTTCACAGCTCATTGTCCTTGCTGATGGGCCATCCACCATGTCTGGCTTTTCCATTGTTGTACCTGAAGTGTTAGCAGTGGGCATCACCCAAAGTAGCATAGTTGAAATACAGATACATCGTCAAAATTCCTAACTTCAGATACAGAAATGATACAGGCATACAAATTGGAAATCACATTCAGTAAATCATAATCTTTCCAGTGATATCTCACATGAGTCATCCCGCATAAAGTATATCTCGGTTATGTCAGATTCATATCATAAGCATATTTTCATAAAGAATATGGAATGACATGTCACACCATCCATCTCCACTAGTGACTTGCAGGGGCTGAAGTCACTAGCCAGCTCTTGCTGGGCCCTTGATAGGTACATTGTCTGGGAACAGGGGATGGAAAGGAAACAAGTGGCAAACAGGTGACCCTGAATTCCCTGCAGAGTTTCCTTTCCCCACATAGCCCCTACCATCTCCCGTGTACACTACAGGATCTCCAAAAGGGAATAGGACACCGTCAGAATGGAGATGTCCCAGCATGCGTGGGGAATGCAGCAGGGAAAGAATCCTGAATTTTCAGTGCTGGGAACTTACAGCAGAGCTGACTGGATAGAGCTGATGATCTGGGTCTCTCTAGTGTTAACCCTATGATCTCCAAGGTGTTGTGAAGCAGGATGTACAGGGTCTCCCTGGCCAGCATGGTCTTAGCTCCCAGAAATCCTCATATAACCCTGGCCTGGCTGTAATAGAGGATTAACACACCAAGGGCACTGCTAGGTGAGGTTAGCACACATGTTCAGGGGATCCCTGCTGGGGTGACACATTAAGGGTCAGGACCAGCAGATTCATAGCGCTAACAGCTGAGCTCAGTGCACATAGGATTTCATTCATATTTTGGGGTCAGTTAACCCTTCAGGGACTGACCAGTCATGCGTAGGGCCTTACCAAATTTCCCGGTCATAGGATTTTTAAAATAGTAAATTTCATGATTTCAGCTATTTAAATCTGAAATTTCATGGTGTTGTAATTGTAGGGGTCCTGACACAAAGAGGAGTTGGGGGGGGGAGTTGCAAGGTTATTGTACGGGGGGGGTTGTAGTACTGCTACCCTTACTTCTGCATTGCTGCTGATGGTGGCTCTGCCTTCAGAGCTGGGCAGCTGGAGAGCGGCTCTGAAGACAAAGACGCCACCAGCAGCAGCGCAGAAGTGAGGATGGCCTGGTATTGTACGGTATTGCCACCCTTCTGCACTGCTGCCTGCAGAGCTGGGCCCTCAGTCAGCAGCCGCCACTCTCCGGCTGCCCAGCTCTGAAGGCAGCAATGCAGAAGTAAGGGTGGCATGGTATGGTATTGCCACCCTTACTTCTGTGCTGCTTCTGGCGGGATGCAGCCTTCAGAGCTGGGCGCCAGGCCAACAGATGCTGCTCTCTGGCCGCCCAGCTTTGAAGGCAGTGCAGAAGTAAGGGTGGCAATACCACAACCCCTTAAAATAACCTTGCGACCCTCCTCCAACTCCCTTTTGCGTCAGGACCCCCAATTTCAGAAACACTGGTCTCCCCCATGAAATCTGCATAGTATAGGGTAAAAGCACACAAAAGACCAGATTTCACAGGGGGAGACTAGATTTCGTGGTCTGTGACGCATTTTTCATGGCCGCGAATTTGGTAGGGCCCTAATCATGAAGGGTTAATACCGTCATGACTAGGTACTTCTGGAGGCACTGCCAAGCCATTAGGGGGCGCTGGGTTAGAGCTAAGGGAAGGCCTGTGACAAAGGGAGGAGACTGAGGACAGGCCCAGACTCTTAGGTGGAGCCAACCCTAGTTGAGCTTACCTCTGTCAGCTCTCAAGTACCTTCTTTCTTTGCTGTTCTCTCCTAAACCTACTTCACACCAAAGATTATGTCATGTGATGAAATCTCCAGAAATTCGTCCAGCCAAAGTTGGCAACCCTGTCTGCAACCATCTGCGTGCCGGCCAGAGTGCATGGTGTGTGTGTGTGGGGGGGGGGAACAGACACACACACACACACGACCCACTGTGGTCTCTGTTTCTCCCAGGTGGAGATAGAGACTGGGATCAGCCCTTTGGTGCTTTGGGCTCCCTCCTGCAAGGCATTGACGGGACAAGGGGTGCTCCACTCCCATCCTGCTTGTAGGGCCAATAAAATGTCAAGCCTATGATTGTGAAGCATGTTAGGAGTGGCTGAGGGTGACCCCTGCTTGCCAGAGAAAGGCATTTCAGTCTGTATTCTTCCAAGGATCCCTTTAATCAGGGAGTTTCAATACAGTTTATTTTGGTTTGGAGTCTCCCTATTGCCTTATTTGTCTGGTGCCTGCCACTCATGTTCCATGGCTACATCGGGGCTTCCGAAAGTGGAGGGAGAGGCACTTGCACTGTTGCCTCTTGATACAGGCGGTGGGGCACATTTCACAGGGAGTGAGCGGGACAAGCTGGACTCAAGGCATCAGGTGCCTGTAAATAATCGCAGGGCTGTGTCCGATAAGCACTCTGCAGGCCGGGGAAGAAATGGATCCCCAACTATTAGTGAGGGTGAGGAGTGGCATCTTCTCTCCACCCCAGGGATGGCACATTAATAATTCTGGACATTGGGCAGGATGGAAAGAATGAACTGTCAGGGTGGAGCCTGGTCCCTCTTGTAGAACTGATCAATGAAATTGTTTTAATTGTTCACTTTATTAATATAACTTCATAAGCAAAATTTTATGAATGAAACAACATTCATTCATAAAACGGGTTACCCCAATAACTGGCTAATTGTGTTTCACTTTCAATCCAATTGCTGCTTAAATCCCTGAAATTTACAATGTTTCAACATTGTAACTTCTGCTCACTGTTTGTCATTCATTATACTTGTCCATATTGTAACTCAAACTCCATTTTAACTTGTCCCAAACTCCATTTTAAAATGCTCACTTCATTTTGTAAAAGCTTGCTGCAACCTTCATTTTTGCAAAACCCTCCTGTAATCTTATTAGTTTAGTTTAGATGTGTGAATGAGGTATGTATGGATACAGCCCCACCCTGTCCTGATGAAATAAAGTGTAAATACCCTATGGCTGAAGATGCAGACAACAGCCCTGACAAAGTAAGAGGAGTCCACCCTCAAAAGAAAAGAACAAAAGTACAATTGAAGAAACATCAAAGCCAGGTCCTAGGCTGAAAGTCGTGTCTGCAATTGACGGGTGATCAATCACACCAGACCCAGAGGCAGCGTGACACAGCAAGACCTATAGACTTTGGAGTCAAACTAAAGCCTACAAAAAGGATGGGTGAGATGGAAGACTCTGAAGGGTAACATTCTGCTGCCAACATGGAAGGGCATCAGTGCATGCCCAACAGAGACCCAGCTCTTCCTTGTGCCTGTCTTTCCTGGCCAGTGAGCCGCCACAAGCTACGAACCCAAGCCACAAACTCAAGCTACATTCAGGACTGGTAACTATACAGTAGCTGCAGAACCTCTGTGTGTGTATGAACGAACGTGTGAATGAATGTGAAACTGAATGAAATGTTATAGCTATAACTGACTGCCTATTATGATTCTTTTTGTATTCACAATACATGTGACATTTTGTCTTATCCCCTTTAATAAGATCCTGCTGGTTTTTATTTTATTGGTATAACACTCTGTTCCTCGATCTCTTAGCACCATTTTCAGGATGCCCATCAGCTTGCCAGTACACTCGCCTGTCTCCACCAACCCGTCCAGCATGGTGAAGCAGAAGAGCATGAGGTACTACAGAAGTAGGTGCTTTGCGATGATCTGCAGGGAAAAGCAATACGGCAAATGTGAAACCAATTCCCTTGTCTTGGACTCCCAACTAACACTGTACTAAATAGGGACTAAGGTTTGGTTGTATTTGTCCAGCACTAAGTTATCTGCTCAAGGAAAACTGGAGCCTATAACTGAAATTTTAATTTGGCAGCTCCTGCTTTTCTGTCTCAGTGACTGCATTGTTGGGGAAACCCATGAAGTTGGGGACACAAATTCCTTGTCAAATGAAGGGATGATCCCTCCCCCTCCCTGCATCTCTCTCCAGCTACAGTCTCTCTTACTCACTGCCGGGGGAGGAGGTGTCATTGCAGCTGAGATAATCCTGCTCCCCACTCACCATATACAATCCAACAGCACTAAGGAATCACCCTCAGGACCAGAGCTTTCCACATCCCATCCCAAGTTAGCTGAATCCAGCTTTAGCTGGCCAGGTGGGAATTCCCAGCCCACGCGAGCTCTCAGCTGGTATACAGCCAGTGCCCCTAGTTCCTGTGCCATCTGCCCACATCGGTGTTGAGAATGTGTCAGGGGTGGGGTTAAAGCACAGCCAGACTCTGCTAATCCTCGACTTGCGCAGGCTCCCTGGAGACCATCACATGCTGGTGTTAAGAGTAGCCCCTGGGTTGTTCTAACTTACGGCAGGGGAGGGGCTGACATAGATCAGTGCACAGAATCAGGAGCTGTACTGTAGATGCCCCTCCCCGCTGTCCTGGGCCAGGCAGATCGTGATGTAGGAGAGAATGTCCCCCTCACTTTTTCTCTATAAAGATACTTTTCTGCCCAGTGTCTCACTCAAACAATGCCCCAAAATACCCCCCAGCGTTAACAATGGAAATGGAGCCAAGGCTGTGGAGAGTGCAGGGCAATAGTAGCACAAGGGGATGGACCCATAGTGATGCTGAAAAGCCTGTGTGTCTTTGGAACTGAGGGATAGCAGCTGTGTAGTAAAGAGCAGGGACCAAGAGCTGAGCCCTCTGGGATTCTGTAGCAAAGATGCTCCTAGCACAGAGAAGGTGCCTCCCCAAGGGATGGCAGAGGCAGATCCATGAGCAGAGAAAGGCTAGGAGTAAGTCAGTGTTAAAGCAAAGACATGAATGGAGCTGGCAGGCAGGAGTGACACAAGGAAGCAGATGGGAGGAGCTGTTGGCAGTGGCAGGAATACATGAAACAAGGGTAGGGAGTCAGGACCAAGCACTGCAAGGTGAAGGGATCAAGAGAGGAGGGAGATTTAAGAGACTAGGTGGTTCCTGGTGAAGGGCAGAGGCCAGTGTTGGATCGTATTAAAGAAGTTCTGTATTAAAATCACAAATGAGTTTGATTCCCCATAGTTTAAATTCCAGGGTATTACTAATTAAGAGGTCTCTTGGTTTTTGGTACTGTTTCTCTCCCTCTATGTGTGAAACTTGCAAGCTGCTAATTGCATTAGTACATTCTAAGACAGAGTCTGTTCTTCAAAGCTGTCATAAATATAAAGGGAAGGGTAAACCCCTTTGAAATCCCTCCTGGCCAGGGGAAAGCTCCTCTCACCTGTAAAGGGTTAAGAAGCTAAAGGTAACCTCGCTGGCACCTGACCAAAATGACCAATGAGGAGACAAGATACTTTCAAAAGCTGGGAGGAGGGAGAGAAACAAAGGGTCTGTATGCCTGTCTATATTCTGTCTTTGCCGGGGATAGACCAGGAATGGAGTCTTAGAACTTTTAGTAAGTAATCTAGCTAGGTACGTGTTAGATTATGATTTCTTTAAATGGCTGAGAAAAGAACTGTGCTGAATAGAATAACTATTTCTGTCTGTGTATCTTTTTTGTAACTTAAGGTTTTGCCTAGAGGGGTTCTCTATGTTTTGAATCTAATTACCCTGTAAGGTATCTACCATCCTGATTTTACAGGGGGGATTTCTTTATTTCTATTTACTTCTATTTTTATTAAAAGTCTTCTTGTAAGAAAACTGAATGCTTTTTCATTGTTCTCAGATCCAAGGGTTTGGGTCTGTGGTCACCTATGCAAATTGGTCAGGCTTTTTATCCAACATTTCCCAGGAAAGGGGGGGTGCAAGTGTTGGGAGGATTGTTCATTGTTCTTAAGATCCAAGGGTCTGGGTCTGTAGTCACCTAGGCAAATTGGTGAGGTTTTTTACCAAACCTTGTCCAGGAAGTGGGGTGCAAGGTTTTGGGAAGTATTCTGGGGGGAAAGACATGTCCAAACAGCTCTTCCCCAATAACCAGTATTAGTTTGGTGGTGGTAGCGGCCAATCCAAGGACAAAGGGTGGAATATTTTGTACCTTGGGGAAGTTTTGACCGAAGCTGGTAAAGAGAAGCTTAGGAGGTTTTTCATGCAGGTCCCCACATCTGTACCCTAGAGTTCAGAGTGGGGGAGGAACCTTGACAAAAGCAATACTCTGTAACAACAGAAACAGCACCCAGAGACTCCCCGCCCTTTTGTTGTATTAACAATTGTGATTAAAATAGAGATAGAGGATGTATGTGGATGGATGCTTGGTGTGGATAATAACTGAATGATCAGGGAGGTGCCAGCCTAAGAATCCAGTGTCCATCAGCTGAAGAAGGCGTCAAGTGGAAATAACCAGAGGACCTCCGGAGGGCAGACTGGAATCCACCCAACAGCCTCAAGAATGGGAGAACCAAAGAACAAGATAACATCTAGCAGCACGGAGCCATCAGGAATGTGCTATCTGCTGATTGATTCAGCAACAGCATGATGAAGCAATTCCCATAGACTGGCATAGGAAGAAATTCCTATAAAAATAGACTCTAAAAAGTGAGAATTTTGGGGTCTGATTCTGCAAACCAACTTCCAGGAGCATCAGATGAGCATCTGACAAGGCCCTGCTCCCTCCTCATGTCCAGGCCACCTGGCCAGTGGCTTGGCATGAGCAACTCTAAGGCTGGTAACTATGATAACAACCTTGCAGAACCTGTGTGTGTGTGTATGAATGAATGTGTGAATAAATATGAGATTGAATGGAATGTTATAGCTATAACTAACTGCTTTCTATGATTCTTTCTGTATTCACAATAAATGTGGTATTTTGCCTTTTTCCCTTTAATAAGATCCTGCTGGTTTTTAATTTATTGGTATAACACCAGGACAGCATTGTAGATACCAACTCACTTCTGCTATGTGGACCTTTGGATAGGGCCAGAGATTTAAAGTGCCATGTTCTCTCTGTAGACCCAGTCACTAGGTAACTGCAGGGAGATGGCAGAGTGTTGTGAGGCTGGAGACAGTTTGCTTCTGCTCCATCTTACCTGTTCAAGGAGAGAGATTGAGACTGAGACACCCTATGTCTGAGACTTCCTGAGCACTAAAGGGCAGCAGCCCAGTCAAATGGCCCTGTTCTGCAGTGGGCCTCAGCTCTTGGGCCACAGAACAGAAAATGTGGGAGTGGGCTGGTTGTTCTGAGCCCAGATCTTTGTGGACACAGGATCACCCTCTTCCTCCACCTCTCTGTATATGCTGCTGGGGAGCAGCAGAGTCCATTTTGCTGTCACTCACTCACCTTGCAGGGGGCTCTGAAGCTGCAGAACATGAAGAGCTGAATGATGGCTCTTACATCTCATCCCCATTCATGGCCTTGGAGAAGGAGAGCCATTTCTGCCAGTGCTGAGGGAACAAGGAGGAATGTGTTTGAGCAGCAGCAACATCAGACACACAGCTGACCAGTATCCAGGTTACTCAGCCGGTGAATTGCTAGGTTCCCCCAGCTTTGGTGGGAGTTGCAGCCTTGTCCATGTCTTACTAACCTCTGACTGGATAATAGAGCTATGCCATCTCACCCGTGCTCAGTACAACTTGTGGTGGTGATACAACCATGGGTGGCCTTGACCTCTTCTTCCTCAGAAGGGAGACTGGAGTTTCCTGTTGTAAATGGGGGAATGCTATTCCCTGCTATTGTGGGGAATTTTCCTGGCTTATACACTACCCTGGTGAAATGGGCTAGTGAAAGGATCTGAGTCCTTGCTCCCATTTCTTTTACCCTGAGGCCTGCCTGACCTCAAGGGCTCCCCTTCCACTCTTCTGTGTGGCAGAGTCCTTGTAACCCTGACAAGGCTGAGCCCAGGATTCCTGGGAGACTTGACCCCCAAACTTGTCATGGTCACTTAGGACAGGGGCTAGGGTGTCCCCACCCTGGGGTGCTCTTGGCACTGGATGCTTCCCTGATCATTACATATAGTTCAAAGCAAATACAATTTATTAAACGGCAATCAATTTTAAAGACAAGGATAAAACAGGAAAGGTTAAATGAATCACCTGCTCTGTGGCACAGGGGCATCACAACCAGTGTCTCTGGAACATCAGGGAAGTTCAGTCTGTTCTTCACACATCCCAGGCCTCCTTCTCAGGCCCTGGCAGTGCTGCAGGGATGCCACGGAATGAGCACTTGCCCTGGCAGTGGCCACATGCCTTCAGGCTCTAGGTGGCAGGACCCTTCTTCCCAGCATTGCCCCCACCCGCATCAGGGTTATGATCCCCCTCCAAGTCTGGCCTGCAAGACCTCTTGGCTGGGGGTGTCTCCCTGCGCTGGGCCCGCTGCCCAGAGTCCCCCATTGCTCTCACCAGCTGCTCACTGCATCAAGCTCTGGACTGCTCCAGCCCCAGCTCCACCACTCTGCCTCAGCACTGGGACTGCTCTGCCTCCCAGCTCCCTGGGCTGCTTGTCTGGCCCCGGTTGGTGTAGCTCTGCATTCAGCACAGTTCTCTGGGATGCTCCTCTGGCCCTGGCTATTGTGGCTCTACTCCCAGCACAGATCTGCTCCTCTGGTTCTGGCCAGTGCGGCTCTGCTCCCAGCTCAGCTCAGCTCAGGCTCCTGCTCTCTCCTTAGCTCAGCCCCATTCGGGTGCAGGCAACTCCAGCTACATGGAGGACAGGACCCCCTCCTCCTGACTACCTCATTAGCCTGCCTGCCCTGTCAATCGGGCTGACTTGGATCACTGGCCTCCCCCCATTGGCTCTGCAGACTGTCAGTCTCAGGGTCCTGGTTTCCCATCGACCTTTCCCCTTCCTTTTGGTACTGGGAGATGGCCAACCAAAAACCCCCACTAAGTTTTGGTAGGCCAACCGTCCCCTTACACCGAGGCATAAAGGAAGGAGCAGATATGGACATCAGAACTGAGACTGGTCCCAGCATGAGCCAGGCTGGGACTTGATGGATTCTTTCAGAATTACTAGTGATCCAGTGGGCACCAGCTGTGGAGCCAACAACAGAGGGACAGGTCCCCCCCCCTGGAGCAGGCAGCGACTTTGCTGCGGAAGCTGTGCACATGGGATGATAATACTGAGTACTGTCCAGGGCTGGCACCAGCGAAGGAAGCAGGTGCCTGGGGCGGCCAACAGAAAAGGGCGGCAGCCGTTTGTTATCGGGGTGGCACGTCCGGGTCTTCAGCGGCGGGCCCTGCAGTCCCTCTCTTCCTCTTCGGCAGCACTTCGGCAGCGGCTCAACCAGGCTTGTTTTTTGTTTTTTGTTTTTCCCCTTCGCCACTTGGGGTGGCAAAAAAGCTGGAGCTGGCCCTGGTCCTACCCTATGGCTTCACCCATTCACAGCACTTCACAACCAGATTAGTGCTCTTACAAGTCAGTAACCAGCGATGGGGCTGCATAAACTCTGATCCAAAAGCGGAGTTAATCAGCCTGTTAGGGAGTTAGCAGAGAGCAGCAGCATCCGGTTCTCATTACTGTGCTGAAATGTCCCTTCCCCTCCTCTCATTGCATCTGTGCCTCCCAGGCTGTTGGGCTGAACAGCAGCTTTCCACAGCCAGTAAGTCAGCCCCAAAGACATACCCCAGGTGTGAGATATTGATCAGCGTGTTGGCAATTCGTGCTCCCAGGCAGGCCTGGTCATCCCTTCTGAGGATTGCCTGCAACACATACAGCACAGGGTCAAAAGCAAGAACTGGAATCTCTAAATGCTGTTTGATGCCCCCACAGCCTCAATGCCTTTGAGTGCAGTGTCCCATGGAGCCAGGAATTTGGCCTGAAGGGCGGGGGGCTTTAATGAAATGCTAAACTCTATTATACTTTTCAGCCACAAGAGGGCACTGTGCGTAAAATATCTTATTTAAATGAACCTCAGTCATACCTGGCAGAGCATTAAAGGATCTTATGATGAATGCAGCTGGTGTGTATAAGAAAGCTCTGTGACCAGTTCATATCTGGTATAGGGACATGAGATGATGGCAGGAGTAAACTAAAAACAGAAACAGAAGGAAAACAGCAACCAAGGTTGCAGACAGAAGAAACAGCCACTAAGGTTACAGGATCTCATCAACATGCCACTCTTCAATGTCCCACAGAACTTCAGCTTTGACAAACCTTCCCAATGGACTGACTGGAAGCAGTATTTTGTAAAATTTCAAATTGCAAACAAACTCCACAAAAACTGGGAGATATACAGGTATCTTCTTTAATTTATGCTATGGGGAAGCAAGCAGATCATATCTTTAAATCCTTCAACTTTATTAAAGATGGTCAAAGATGATTATGAAAGGGTTCTGGCTATGTTTGATACATATTGTGATGGGGCATATCTACCCTACACCAGCTCCAAGAGGGTTAACTCTGCTTTGCAGGCTGAGGAAACCCCACCCCTCTAGCCCTGCTGGACATGCTCAGCCTGGAGGCAGCATATAAAAGGTAGCAAGCCAGCTCAGCCTGTTGGAGGGGAAGGATGCAGGCTGTGAGCTCTCTCCAGGAAGTTGCTACAGGCCCTGACTATGGTACCAGTGCTTGCAGAGTGCTAGACAGACTCCAGGCTGCCTGGGCCTTCACCGGTAAGAGCCTGGCCATTTGAGGACCCTAGAGACCCAGAGGAACTGGGGAGCTTCAGTGAGGGGGAAAGGGTAAGAAGCAGCCCAGGGGACTTGAACTTTTTGACAGTGAGTGAGCCAGGGAGCCAGTCAGCATGTTTTAGGAGGATCCCTGCTGACTCGGGGTGAGCACCCCCACCACTGACAGGGCCCTGAGCTGGGACTTGGAAGAGCACGGAGGGCCTGAGTCCCCTTACCTGGGATGCCATACCCCCTTGGGTGGCATCCTATGCCCCCAACAGGCCATGCAATCCCATAGAGGTGGGCTACTAGGCTGATTCTGGCCATTAGTCCACGCTGCCCCATGTAGATGGGCTGCTTGCTGACTCTGGCTGTTGGGACACATAGCCCCTTGTAGAAGGGCCATCTACTGACTCTGGCCATTGGGCCACATTGCCGTGAGCGGAAGGGCTGCCTACTGACTCTGGCCTTTAGGCCACACTGCCCTGGCTGGACAGGCTGTCCTTTGATGCCAGCCACTAGGCCAAACTACCACACCACAATAAAGATAATTGGTATAAGAACTTACTGACTGCAGTAGCCCTTTTCCTTTCTTTTGGACCACACATGACCCGACACCCCATGGTGGGATGTACCTACCCCGTGACACATACTTTACACCTCAGAGGAGTGTGGTTTGTGAAAGAGCATGTTTTCACCGGAGAATTCAAGAATGAGGCAGAAATGTAGACTGTTTTATAAGAGCTGTCTATGCAAGGGCTGGAAACTGATTTTTGGAAATGCAAAACATGAACATAGCAGAGACAGGCTGTTTGTTGTGTTTAACAGATAAATATTTTTCACAGCAGGTACAATTGGAGAAACTTAACCCTAGCCACAGCTATTCAAATAGCAAAATAGTCTGAACTGGTGAAACAGCAAAACCTAGAGAAACGTGACAAACTTGAAAAACTAGCATCAAAGCTATAAACAGACATTCAAGTGTTAAAAGTCATTATCATAAAACCCTTGAGGCAAGGAGAGAGAACTTCCAGGCTAAGAGGGAACAATTCCAGCCTACATGCACAAGGTGGGCAAAAAGTCTTATCCCAAGAGATGATGCATGTCCAGCCAGAGGCACGTGGTGTAATAAATGCTTGAAATATGGATGATTTGCAGCTGTTTGCCACACCAAAGCAGGCAGGGAGTTAATTCATGTTACAGAAAATCAAGAGTCATTGTTTCTGGGATCTATCACAGAACC